TTAATACAGCCTGCATCAGACAAGGCTTAGTTAATAAATGTTTTATTTTTTTTGTTTGTTTTGTTTTAAATTATGACTTGTGTAACATTTGTTATCATTCTTATTTTTATCATGTTAATGGAGGAAGAAAAAGGCCGTATCAGCTTCAAGAATCAGCCAAATAATATCGGCTGCACGTATCGGCGTATCGGTTAGACCAATGTTTCCCAAAGTTGGGGTCCGGACCCCACATCAAGATGGGGTCCTGAAAAGATTTTTTGAATTAATTACATTTTTGCCTTAGTTGTTACAAATGATTGAGGTTAGTATATTTGAAATGGATGAATGTAGTATAAAAAATATTGTTACTATGCCCATGTTTTGTTGACCTGATACAAATGTTTATCATCCAAAAATAGCTGGGGGCACAGGTCTCTGCTGCTGTTATTTTGTGGGTCAAAAGCTGAAAAGTTTGGGAACCATTGTACTTTGGTTCCCAAAGTTGGGTTTGGGACCCAATTATGGGTCATGAAGCACCTTGGATAATCTCCAGAAATCAATTTTAAGGGTAATAAAATAAATGCTGATGTAATATTTTCCCTATAATTATTACAAAAAAACAAAATAAGTAAAAATATGTATTTATATTTGTGTATAAGCTGTTTAGGTTGTCAAAAAGCCTGTGTTTTTAGGGTTATTAACAAAGTTCATGTACTCAGACCAGAAATATTTGGGGTCACAAGTTTTTGCCATAGATATTTTGTGGGTCAGAAGACAAAAAGTTTGGGAACCACTGGGTTAGACTGATGTTTAAAAAATTGGTATCGGCCTTCAAAAACCTGTATCGGTCGATCTCTAGTGGTGAGCTGTACAATCGAACCAGGAAACAAACCAAACCTGCCAGTTTATTGCCTACCTTTGGACGAGGACTGAAGACGGCGATGCTATGAGCAGTAAGGACTGGCAGCTCTTGGTGCATTCACGGATTTGCAGTGAATATTTTTTTTACAAGATTAACATTCATATTCTTCTTAATGGTGCTGAACAATAATTCAGTGATTATGTCAGGGTAGAAAATATTTCAACAACGATATGACTTTTAAAGAAATTCAATAGACAGACGTCCCACCAGTGCTCCGCACTACGCTGCCTACAACACAGCACCGATTAGCTCAACAGCTGACGAAATAATTGATTAAAAAAAGAAAAGACTAAATTCATTAGTGAGGACGTGGATCGGGCTGTGAAGGTTTGAAACTTCAGCTTTCAGTTCACTGTAAAATGTGTGAGAGAAAGTGCTGACTCGTCAAATCCTTTCTGCCGTCTGATAAAGTTCCACTCAACAGGACTTTCTGAGCAGGCATGGGACGAATACCGGTTTCAAGGTATACCGCCGAAATTTAAAACACAAGAAAAACTCCCAACGTCATACTTTACTTCAATAAAAAGACTTGTCGTGCAGTATACACTGATTAGTCTTAAATAATAAAGCAACAGAAAAGCAGTTATTTTACTAGACGTAAACTTTATCAGTTTAATCTAATTGCATTAGATGCTAAAAATCAATAAAGCACAGATGCACACGGGTAAATAAAATTTCAGCATAACACCTCTGAGATCTAAAAACAGCTTCCAAAGATAATTGAAGTTGAATATGATAATAGAAAAGTTATTTTTGTTTTTAAATACAAATTCAAAACCTAATTTTTAGAGCTGTTATCAGAGTTGTAAAGTAACTAAGTACAAATACTTTGTTACTGTACTTAATTATAATTTTTGGTTATCTGTACTTTACTTGAGCAATTATTTTTCAGTGTACTTTTTACTTTTACTCATTATATTTTTACACAATTATCTGTACTTTCTACTCATTACATTTAAAAAAAAAGTTTAAAAAAGGTAAGAAGTAGAAAGTTGTTTCTCCTATTTTACTGTTTATTGTTGTTTTTATTATTTAAAAAAAATACTATCCTGATAAATTGTGGCTCCTGGAAAGAATAAATTTATTTGTGGTTGGATGAGAAGTATAAATATATACAATTCTGACACCGTATTACTTTGTACACAGTCCATGACAGCTGCACGCCATTAGAAAAAATATTTTTGGAGAAGTCACCTCCCATTAAATGTCCTTTAGGAAAATCTAACTGCTCACTTTTACTCAGTACTTTTACTTTTAATACTTAAGTAGATTTTGTGTCAGAAATTTACTTACATTATATTCTTACAGAAGACTTTAACTTTTACTAAAGTATTTTTATAAGACACTTGTACTTTTACTCAAGTATCACATTGAGGTACTTTATATAGCAGTGGCTGTAATCATAATACCATCACACCGCAAAACCGTGACATTTTTGCCCAAGGTTAACATACTGTCGTAATTTCATACCCATGCCTATTTCTGAGTGTATGAAAATAAAACGTCCTAAAATAAAATGAACTTGGGACCCCGATGACAGTTCGACACTCCCCTCCCTCTCTTCTGACGTCAGTCACGACGCCACCTCGTGATCAGGTGACGTAGCTGCAAAGGGTCAATACTGCAAAGGGGCGGACTGATCAAATCAAAATTTGTAAACAGGAAACTGGGGATTAGAAGTTGATTTGTATCGTTTTGTTGTATGTAATATGTTTTTTTTTTAATGAAATGAATAAATACTGAATGAATTCAGAAGAGTTGTCAGTCAGATGAGGTTGTGTTTTTGGCACATAGATCAAAAGTTTTCCTACCTCTGTGCAGCCTGATGTTCTCCACAGCAGGAAGAGTATTCCTGCGCGGGATGGTCGACACAGAAGACGTCATGTCTCCGTTCTGGCTCCCTGCAGAATGGGGACTGCCCCACTGCCCCTCAGATCCCTGGCTGGGTTTGGGCGGCCTGGGTGGAGGAGCGCAGGAGGACTCGGAGCTGGAGGGAGTCAAGGAGTTGTGATTCTTATCAAACGTTCGGGGGATCTGATAGAAGGAGCCGGGGGTCGTGGGGAAGTCGTAGTTGTCAGGCGACCGCTCGCTGCCGTGCGTCGTGGCGAGGGCGTTGCAGGGGGTTTTGAAGGTGTACACCTCCTCGCTCTCGAAGTCGGAATCGCCCAGAGCGCTGTGGGACGGCGCCTCGGAGCTGTAGCCGCGCGGGAGAACGTAGCAGGCCTCCTGCAGGGAGTCGTCGTGCACCGACAAGTGATGCTTTCCAGGTTTGGGGAGGCTGTAGAAGCCGTGCAGCTGAGCACCCGTGCCGTTCAGACAGTGTGAAAAACCGTAGGAAAGTTTCTGCACGGGAGAGTCGTTCCCGACGAACATATTGCTTCGTGTGGAAAAACTGGCACTTCTGTAAAAAAAAAAGGCAAAAATACACACGTAAGTTGTTTGTAGTGTGGCCTTTTCCCACGGTGTCTGAATGCATTTTTACAAACAGAAGCCTGAAAAGGAAAACTTTCACACAAGTGTTTCATGTCATTTTAATGTTATCCAAAACCACCACTAGATGGCGCCATATCACTTTAATTCTACTGTAGGTTTCAGCACAACAAACATCTTCTTTTGACTTTTTTTTCACTATTTTCACATTTACTCAAAACACTTTTTGTTTCATCCATGTTTTGAGGACGCAGACAAGGAGAGGGCATTCGTGTTAAGAAAGGCAAATGCTCCAACTTTCCCAGAGTTTCCCAGCCCCAGTAAGACACTCAGGGGACGTGCCTCATTTACTCTGCCTTCTTTACAAGACTTGACCTTGAGTACCAACAAGAGCAGCACAAAAAGCTGAGACATTTCTGGACTGTTAGTTGAGCAATGGCCCCCTCTAACTGGCTTGTGCCAACACAAGATGTCTCATTACTCATGCTACGATTCTGAACGTGTTAGCTACACTTTAAGCTTCTGCTTCTTTATGACAATTCATTTTCTCAACCAATCAGTAATATTGTTCTTTGCACAATCCTTCATCCCGGTTGAAAGAAAGCTTTTCACTTGGATTCATTCCCAGCACTGGTCAGCGGACCCGGAGATTTTCCATTCTGACGTGAATCACAGCCCCGCCACCAGATGCTCGTCTTGATTAACCAGCTCATGAGGCACGAGCCGATGACGGATACATTTACATAAAAGCTAAAGAGATGGATTATAAGGTTTGATTTTCTGGTTTGAACAAAGTCCCCAACGCAGCAGATTTATGTGCAGACTGTGCGGTTGAGAGTGCAGTCCCACCCCGGGTGAATCTAAACCTACAGAAGAGATGAATTGCTGCCTGAGCCTCATTGATCATCCACGGCACAGGCTTATCTGCTGAATGGCATCGTTATTACAGCTTCCTTTGGCTTCTCAGAAACGGGCTGGATGGCAGAAGGTGAGGTGGTTCTTAAAGAGAAATTCGGTCATAAAACTAACGTTTTGGGGTCTTTTTTTATCGTGCTTATTGAGTACGGACACAGATAAATTTGTTTGCACCCTTTAGTTAAAGAAAGAAAAAGCCACTGTGGACACCGGAATAACTTAAATTTGGCAAAAAGATTAATGAAAATCATTGTGGTTTAACGGAAATATTTTTAAAAAATAAACTAATGACAAACACGAGATATCATTGTCATAATGTACGTGTGCACAGCAGTCCCATCGTAGGTCCTGGATGTAGGAGGCAAAAGAAAGCAATATGTAAAAACCATAAATCTAATCTGTCATGTGTTGAAGCTTTTATTCTGACATGTTTCCAACGGCAGGAGCAGCTGCAACTAAAAACGAGAACTCAAACGAGGAGGAAAAGAGTTCTTATGGTTTAGCATCAATGCTAACATTTAGCATGGCACAAACATAACCTAAGCTCAACACAGGCTGTGTCTCAGTTCAGGGGCTGCATCCTCATGAGAGCGCAGTTGTCGGCCGCTAAACCCAAATTATTCATGTTTCTTTTATTTACTTACATGTTTTAACTGAAGTTATTCTACCAGTGAAAAGACCTGTGAAAACACACATCACAGCCGTTTCATGAAGCCTACCTGGACTGGGTGGGATGCGGCCCACGTGGTCCAGGTGGGCTACGTACTCACAAGGATGCAGCCCGTGAATTGAGACACAGCCCCAGAGGCAACATGTTAACGCAGTTCATGTTTGCACCATAGAAGGAAACACGCTCAGGTCCCGGCACAATAAAAGCCACCATTAAAATAAAACTAGAAGAACTCTCAAATATAGAGAAAAAAACAGGTAAGTTTGGTGCAGATTCATCGTCAACAAGACAGCAGAGGAACTTATAATGTTATTCAACTGAATTGTTGAAAATTACTGTTTTTTTTAATATCACAATATACAGCGGGTAAAATAAGTATTGAACACGTCAACATTTTTCTCAGTAAATATATTACTAGAGGTGCTAATGACATGAAATTTTCACCAGATGTCGGTAACAACCCAAGTGATCCATACATACAAAGAAATCAAACCATAAATGTCCAGAAATGAAGTTATTTGTAATAATGTGGAATGGCACAGGGAAAAAGTATTGAACACACTTACTGAAATTTATCTAATACTTTGTACAAAAGCCTTTGTTGTCAATGACAGCTTCAAGACGCCTCCTGTATGGAGAAACTAGTGGCATGCATTGCTCAGGTGTGATTTTGGCCCATTCTTCCACACAAACAGTCTTCAAATCTTGTTCGTGGACCTCTTCTATGAACTCTGATCTTTAGTTCTTTCCATAGATTTTCTGTTGGATTCAGGTCAGGTGATTGGCTGGGCCATTCCAGCAGCTTTAGTTTCTTTCTCTGAAACCAACTGAGAGTTTCCTTGGCTTTGTGTTTGGGCTCATTGTCTTGCTGAAATGTCCAGCCACATTTCATCTTCATCATCCTGGTAGATGGAAGCAGATTTTTATCAAGAATGTCTCTGTACATTTTTCCACTCATCCTTCCTTCAATTATTTGAAGTTTGTCAGTACCATATGCTGAAAAACAGCCCCACACCATGATGTTCCCACCTCCAAACTTCACTGTTGGTATGGTGTTTTTGGGCTGATGTGCAGTGCCATTTGACCTCCAAACATGATGTGTATTCTGGCATCCAAACAGTTCAATGTTGGTCTCATCTGACCAGACTATATTCTTCCAGTATTACACAGGCTTTTCTAAATGTTGTGCAGCAAACTTTAAAGGAGCTTCAACATGCTGTTTCTTCAGCAGTGGAGTCTTGCGTGGTGAGCGTGCATACAGGCCATGGTGGTTCAGTGCATTACTTATTATTTTCTTTGAAACAATCGTACCTGCTAATTCCAGGTCTTTCTGAAGCTCTCCACAAGTGGTCCTTGGCTCTTGGACAACTCTTCTGATCATTCTTTTCACTCCTCTGTCAGAAATCTTGTGAGGAGCACCTGGTCGTGGTCGGTTTATGGTGAAATGATGTTCTTTCCACTTCTGAATTATGGCCCCAACAGTGCTCACTGGAACCTTCAGAAGTTTAGACATTCTTCTGTAACCGATGCCATCATTATGCTTTGCAACAATAAGGTTGTGAAGGTCTTGAGAGAGCTCTTTACTTTTACCCATCATCAGATGGTTCTTGTGTGATACCTGGCCATCATTTGGGTCTGAACCAGCTGATATTAACTTGCACTGACAAGGGGCAGACTTGCTTTCTAATTACTGAGAGAGTTCAGCTGGTGTCTTGGCTTTCCATGCCTTTTTACACCTCCCTTTCTTCATGTGTTCAATACTTTTTCCCTGTGCCATTCCACATTATTACAAATAACTTCATTTCTGGACATTTATGGTTTGATTTCTTTGTATGTATGGATCACTTGGGTTGTTACCAACATCTGATGAAAATTTCATGTCATTAGTACCTGTAGTAATATATTTACTGAGAAAAATGTTGACGTGTTCAATACTTATTTTACCCGCTGCATATCACAGGATTAGAAAAAAATTGCATTATAATTTTTTCCAATATCTTGCAGCACTAATCCCCTTAATTTAACAACTTTTGAGGCAATCACTGTAATCAAATGATTTCTGTAACTCTGACTTCTGCATCTGTCCACAAGTATTTTGGCCCACCTCTCAAAGGTTCAACAACATTTCGATCAGGGCTCAGAAGACCTCTCACACTGGGCAGCTCATTTTACTCCAGAATGCCTTAATAGTCTTGAGATTTCACCGTACATACCCCCCACAGATTCAAGACACCCTGTGCCAATCTCCCCTATGTTTCAGTGTAGGTACAGTGTTGTTTTCTTCCTGCTCTGCAGCAATAGCTGATTAAAAGTATCCAAACTATTTTCTATGCTAATTTTCCACATAAAATGAATTTTTAGTAAATATGAAAAAATACAACTCTGTTTTGTTGCCACTGTCTATTTTTAGAGTAATGACTTCAGTTTGATGTCATCTTTTCATGATGCTTTATCACATGCAGACACACACAAGCAGATGACTCTTCCCCTGAAACAGTAGGTTTTTTTTAACCCTTAGGGGCTCCGGAGCTGAGGAAGCGTTGTAAATCTGCGTGTTGACCTGCAACAACGGAAAACAGGAAACTAACACAGGACGTCTGCGGGTCGTGACTTTTTACCGTGCACTCTCCGTCTTCCGGCTCATGCACTGGTGGAGGAGGAGGTAGTCCTGAGGCGCGCTGTTGGACAGGGAGCCGTGGTGCGAGTGGCGCACGGGCACGTCGAAGGTGAAGAGCACCGGCTGGCTGGAGTGGACGGGCGCCGACGACTTGCGCTCTGCGCTCACGGGGGCCGCGGAGCCGGCGACATCTGGTCCAACAGATCGAGGCATATGGTGCAATCGGCTGTCTGCGGGCAAACAGAAATTGGAGAAACTGCTTATTCATAACATTTTTATTACTTTTTTAGCAGCTTTTTATGAAAACTGGGTAAGCAACGGAAATTAACAACTCTTAAACTTCTTTTTGCTGTCACAGTCTGCGACTTAAAATGGCCAGTTTTATATCCACATGAGAGTTTAGGGTCTTGTGCCGTCTTGTACTCATTACCCTTTCGTCTGCACTGCAATCAATACGGGAGAGAGATCCGTCTCTAGGGAGGACAGAAAACAGCATCCCTCTGCTTTCAGAGCTACAGAGAGCCAATGGTTGATCAGCACATGATCCGAGTTAAACCCGGGTCAATGTGCTTTGTTTGATTTTATTGAGTCGACCATTGTTCTGCAGCGAGGGACGGTGTGGACAATGCGGTGCTACAGTCTTATTGTTTTTTTTTTTTTCTGTGTGACATCCCCTGATTTTTCCATCGACTACAAAGAAAAGACAAATCTGAGATGAGGATGTTGGAAACGGACTGGGCGGGAGGCCAAAACGAGGAGGTGCTCTGTGAGCGGAGAGTGGGCGGTCTACTGATCTATCGACCGGTGGTGCTGGGTGCAACAGTAGCTGCAAGATAAAAAACAGAACGGCTCAGCTGCTGCTGAAGCTCACTTCTATCCTTTACTGTGCAGTAAATGCAACGACTGTAGGAAAAAATATCTTCGCGCTGAATTTACACCAATAATCAAGTAATTTTGGTGCAACTGGTTCAACCTATTTAAAGTAAAAACTGCCAAAGTCAAAGAAACCAAGTCATTTCAGGATAAGCTATTTTCTTTACTCAGCTGTAAGATAAATAGATCTTTATCCCAACATTTGAATCAGTTCACTATTCTACTCATTTGTAAGAATTACAAAAAGAGTATGCATCAGCCTCCCTTTGAGAAGACAGCAAAAGTCAAAGGGTCAAGATCTGAGCTGGAAAACGTATTAATGTGTAGTGAGGGCATGGATGTGTGTGGGGCAGTCGGAGGCCTGAGTTCTGAAGTCCGGTAGCTGAATGAGGCCACATTCATGCCTGGGGTGGGGGGAAGCCTCTGTTATGAGGTCTCCAGGCCAGTGGACACCAGTGAGATGCCCCCAACCCACAGCAGCACAGGCAGGGACTCCCCCCTCCCCCCCTCCTTCCCCAGCAATCCTCAATTACACCGTTGTTCTGAGTGATTCCATTCTCTCTGGACTGGTTAGGCACCATCTCCTTTCTCCACAAAAAGCTTTGTAAAAGCTTTCATCCACTGTGGTGAGCACAAGCCCCTCTAATACGGCTAGATATATTGATTTGTTGTCAAAAGACAGATCCTCACCGCCCCTCTGCTGTGGAAAGCTGCTTTGCAAAAACAAAAACTGGCACTATAATTAAGCAGAAAATTATCTGCAAAACGCCAAAATGGAGTCCTGTCAGTATTTAGGGTGCATGCAAGAGATAAGAGCTATTTTTTTCTGTTTGTCGGAAATTTTTGGATTAGCTGCTCGAATCGCTGTCAGAAAAGAGCAAGATGAAAGATCACTGGTCCAGTCTGCTGATGGAATGGCTTACATGACTCATCACTGACAGTAATGGGCCTGATGATGTATGTCACCACTGGAAAGCAATTCCAAAGACCCTGTAGAAACTCACATCAAGAATCCAGAAAGAAGCAGCAAAATAAAAACAATGACAGTTTCCCCAAAGAAACCCAGAGTAACATCCACTCCACTGGCTCGGAGAACCCACTGTCAAGTTGTAATATTTACACTATGTTACCAAAGTGAAGTTGTTTATCATACTACAGCTTGTGACAAAAAGTCATTGTATTGGTACAAGTCGAACCACAATTCTGAAGAGTTGTGTAAAACGTAAATCAAACAGAAAGCAATAATTTGCAAATTACAGTACATAGAACTATATTTTTACATTTCACATAATGCTCTAATGTTTTGGGTTGTAAAAATAATGCAAAAAATTAAAAAAAATGTTTTTATTAAAGACACACTGATCAAATTAGCGTATACCAAGATATCTAAAAGGAAAAAATCACCGGTCCCATAGCCTAAAAGCTAACAATCAGTCTAATGCAGTGCATTAAAAGACCCCCCTTTTGGTCGGTGAGTGAGTCACCACTATTCTGGGTCAAAGGAGCTCCAAAGTTCATGAGCAATTTTCCAATTCGACTCAGTAATATATCACCTTCTGTCTCATTGGCTCTGAGGCCGTAATCTAATAAAAGCTGGCTGCTGGTCTCAGGGGGCCAAAATTAGAACTATGCAGCATGGCTCATGACAAGAATGTCTTTGTTGGGCGCTCATTTCCTCCAAGTCTGGCCCAAATTAGATGAGAACATACCCTAATTTCATCTCAAATTTTACTCTCACACACACACAAAAAAATGAAAAATTCACAAACCCTTTAAAGGAAAATTAGTTATTTGAAGTTTTTCTTTCCGTGTTGTAATGACATCATATCATTTGTGTAAAAGATAACAGAAGGTGCACTCTGCCCAGCTGACTTTAATTAAGAGTTCTAGTAAATTGCAATTTTCTTAATGGTTACTTTAAAGATTGAGTTTTCAGCCTCAGGAATCAAACATTTACTAAGAGCCAATTAACCTCCCTTCTGGGGTGGCCCGCTATTAGGGGAGACACTTGAGACAAAAAAGGTCATGTAACTTATGTCAAAATTTATTTAAATAAAAAAATAAAAAAGGGTTTTCATGTTGTATTTTAATCTAAAACTGTGCAACAGCTTTACGGCCTGAGAACAAATATTTTTTTATTCAAGTGAATTTTTATTATAAGAAGGTGTAGTACAAATCACTACATATTAGTAGTTGTATTCTCTACAGCACACATCATTGCTCTAAAATAATCTGGCATGTCTGGCTGCAGAACATCAGCATGTCCCATAAGATCACAGGGTCCTCCGCGAGGGTGGTTAGTGAAAATTTGGAAGCTAACAAGATAAGGACGATGCTAAACTGCTTTCAGATGGGTCAGGCCAGGACTGGGCGGAGTTTATCTCCAGAGAACAAAGTTATAAAGCTGCATCATCCTCCATACTGAAAATAGCAGTAGCAGAGAGAACCAAGAGGCAGATTGGCTGATGACATTACATCCCTGAGCCCCCCTCCCCTCCCCCCAAGCCCCACAGCATCATGTGAGCACCGCCGCTCGACCACACTGTGACATCGGTTTGCCTTAATCCACTGGAATAATCAATCAACAGAAGAGACTCGTCATCGGGGGACAATGAATTACAGAGAGTCCGGGCGACTTTGGAAAAACAGCGGCTCGTTTTCGACAGCCTGACCTCATTTCTGTAATGTGGTGAACATACAGAACATTCATCGTGGAGCTGAGCAGCAGCGGGGTGGACAAGATGAAAAGTTGAGACGATTAAGGTTGAGGTTGACTTTGGCTCACCTAATTTTAAAGGGGGAGGGGGATGAAAATTTATAATTAGGGGGAAAATACTTAAAACAAACGGACCCAGAAGCAAATAAACAACAATATTAAAGTGCCTGTGACACGCATATCCATGAAATACAAAAAGTCTAAGAAAATATATTTATATTGAAGAATATTATCTTTTGAATTTGGTTCAGCTAAAATGAAACAGGAAGTGACGTCAAAGGGGAACTCTTTGAGAAAGAAAGCTTCCTGGTTTTTGTTTATTTAAACAATATTATTTGAACTCTGACTCTAATCTCTCTATGATAGTGATTCAAATAATCTAAAGAAACATCAGATTCTTGTCTGCAGTCTGTGTTATTAGCCATTTTAGCAAGGCTCTGTTCACATGCAAACATTCCCCTTTGACATCACTTCCTGTTACTTCACATGCAAATATCTCAACAACTGTTCATCTCAGCAGCATGAAATCTTTTTTATCTTATTTGATCAATATCATCTTTCCAAAAATACACTCATATTTATTACAAAAATTTGATGTCACAGGCACTTTAATATGATGCATTATAAAAAAAGAAGCTAGGTGTTAAAAATGGCATTCAAGTGAAGCTTGCATATGATTTAACTGCAATACTAAACATTATTAAACTAATTTAAAGCAGAGATGCTGAACATCTGAGCCATTTCTAACCTAATAAATAAATAAAGGATGACACCTTAAATAGATCCTGGACTGCAAAAATGGTTCAATTGTTTATGAGCAACAATGCTGGAATAACATCCTGAGATTAGTTGTTTATTAACTTTTTATATTTTACAATATACCCCAATTATTACTTCCATAAATTACAGAGTAAAAACAGGATGCATCCTGTGAAAGTCCTGTTTAAGTTACTGATCACATCAATATTTCTTAGCTCTATTCGCTGATAAAAAGAAAAGTGAATTATGTAAACCATGGCCACAACTTCAACATTTCCCAAGCAGGTTCCTCTTTAACTACTGTTGGTAAATTCTGATTTCCCACAGAGTACAAACCATTTTGTTGTGCTTCGTTTTTATGAATTATCCAAAGAGGAAGTTCTGGTTTCAAAATGCACTCAGCTGTAAAAATTTACTTTTATTATTTCAACAATTGGCTGCTCCAAAGTCATGATCAGCAGGCAGCTAATTTGTTCACCATCTCAATGGTGGATGTTCTGAAAAAACAAACGTTTTTTGCAATAATTGTGTCAGCAGCTGTTTTAAAGACCTTTTCCCTGGAAATCCTGACAAACTTCAGGGTAAAAGTTGAACGGCAGCTTTCATTGTATTCTTTCCAAAAGAACTGGCAGAAACAAAACAGGCAAAACGACGAGGAAAACAAAACAGGGGGAGCGGTCGTGAAAAAGGATTGCTGACGAGTAAAATCCCCATCCCTTGCTGGGGATGATCCTTGTCTCTGAGTTCAAACAGCAAACAGAAAGCAGAACAAAGCCTGTGATTGACAAAATGATGCTCCATTCATTAGATTGTGCTCGGGGGAGCGGGGTGGGTGGGGGTCTCTATGGGTGCAGACACACGCCGCACAGGCCGCTAGCAGCG